TTAGTATGAGGTATTTAGCATTCAACTTTGATTTTCAATAGTTTTGTTTCTTTAGAGTGTCTGCAGTTGTAGACCCATGCTAAAAGAATGTAAATTGTTCAGTGTGTTGCTTCCCTAGGTTAACAGAACATGGTTTATGAGCTGAGATGTGGCTCAGTAGAGCCCTTACCCAGCATGAAGGAAGTCCTGGGTTCCATCCTCAGCATGGGAGATGAGGGAAGGGATATGGTTTATAAAGGTGAAAAATGAGAAACAATCTAAATATCTGTTAATAAAGGACTAAATGAACAAAATCTGGTACCTCCATACTCTGAAATCATTAAAAATCAGTGGATTGACATGGAAAAATTCCTAAGAAAGTTGTTCAGTGTAAAAACAAATTGCAAAACAATAGATATAAAACAAGAGTTTATAAAAACTCCCACAACAGGCCTGAGGATGTGGCTCAGCAGTAGCGCACTTGCTTGGCATGTGTGAGGCACTGGGTTCAATTCTCAGCACCGCATATAAATAAATAAAATAAAGGTCTGTCAACAACTAAAACTAACTAACTAAGTAAATAATAAAACAAACTCTCACAACATACATCTCTTTGAAGTGTGTGTATGTGTGTGTGTGTACGTGCGCATGCATGAAAAATGGTCAAGAAGGACTATCACTTTACAATAAAAAGTGTATTTGAAGTTTGTTTGTGTGTATTTGTGGCACAGGAATCTAACTCAGGGCATGCTAGGTGAGCATAATAGATCCTCTTTCTTTTACTTCTTTCTAAGCCTAAGTTAAGGTGAGGTCAGGGGAAAGGTGGAGGTCTTGAAAATTCAGACCCCAGGAATATGCAGCACTCTGAGGCTCATCATCAGAATAGGGAGGGGATGCTCTGTGGAAAAACAACTAAGACATTGCACATGTCTGTCTTCCCCACAAGATCAGCAATGGCTCATGGGAGCCAGTAGGTACTCCATGATGATGAAGGTTACTTGAACAGACCTACTTGGAAAGGAGTGTTTGAGGGTACATGTATAAAAGCACACACCTACATTTGCCTCCAGGCAAGATTACTATTGAGAAGCTGCATGCAGTGGCCACACCTGTAATCCCAGTAGCTCAGAAGGCTGAGGTAGCAGGATCACGAGTTCAAAGCCAGGGCTGGGGATGTGGCTCAGTGGTTAAGTGCCCCTGAGTTCAATCCCTGATATCCCCCAAAAGAAAGAAAGAGAAAAAAGTGGGGGCATGGTATCCCCAGAATGACTGGCCCCGGGAAGAGAGCTCAAGGGCCATCCAAGGCCAGGGAGGGCAGGAGTATAAAAGTGTTTTATGTGAGAAGTTGGCTGGTGAATGTCCTCAATCAGAGCATATGCCCTTTGGGGTCAGGGGCACATGGAGTACTGGGAGCTAGAGGGTCTGATCTGATTGACGTGCCTATCCCAGGCAGGAGGGGGGCCTACCTGCCCTCATCAATGAAGTCGATGGCCAGGGTGCTAATGATGAAGACACACAGGCCGGCGATAAACATGTGGTAGATGGTACGGAAATGCTGCACCTCCATCAGCTCACTGGAGAGACAGGGACCTAAGGTCAGTATGGGACAGCCCTCGGGGTCATATGGACTAGATCAAGTACTGTACACAGAAGGACATGGGGTCTACTGATCCAGAACTTCCAGCTAAGTTCTGAGATATGGCTGAGACTTCTCGTCCAGGTCTCCTTTCTTCTACAAGCACATCCAGGGCAAACAGTGGGAACTGAGCCTTAGAAACCCTCTCCCATTCTCCCCACAAACCACCTAGAGCCTAGGAATAAGAAACAAGGTATCCTTGATCCCCAGTTGAAGCCTTTTCTTTTCCTCCTGGTCCTATTTCCTCCTGACTTACTCAAGCAAGGATTTGCGGACGACGAAAACTTTCCGTCTCCCAAAGGATGGCTTCTGGGTCCTGAATTAAAACATTTGGTTAGGGTCAGGCTCCAAAGGAAGAAGGCAGTGCGCAGAGGACAGCTTCATGCAGAAGGTTAGTACGTGTGAGCCCAGGGTAGTATCAGGAGAAGATCAGGATCAGGGCAGAGCAAGGCCCAGAAGGTGGAGGTTAGTATCAGGGAGTCAGGGCAATGGGGGGAGAAGTGGGGAGCCTGAGGTCAAGGCCATGCCAAAGCTGGCAAAAGGTACACGTTTGTGGCTCAGGGTCCTTCTGAGCACCCTGCAGTCATTCCCCAGTCTTCTGGATCCTCAGACTCACTTGCTTAAGGGAGCTGGGTGAGGGGAGGGCAGAGGTCTGTCTTGTGGCGGGTGGGATTGTATGGCCTCCCATATGGCCCGATCCAGCAGCTCCACCAGCTTTTCCTGTGCTTGCTCCAACAATTGCATCTTCACTGCCTACAGGACAAAAGTCCACTGTTCCTCCAGCCAGCCAGATTTCTTTTCACTTACCAGACATTTACCTAGCTTCTCTCTATGCCAAGTGATAGGGGTAGAAAGATGACAAGCCATGCCCAGAGATTCCCCAGCCATTTGCCTCCTGGCTTCCTGTGACATCAGTGAAAATCAAGAATGACCACAGAGCTGGGCGGGGTAGTACACTCCTGTAATCCCAGTGGCTCAGGAGGCTGAGGCAGGAGGATCACAAGTTCAGAGCCAGCCTCAACAATGGTGAGGCACTAAGCAACTCCATAAGACCCTGTCTCTAAATAAAATACAAAATAGGCCTGGGTTGTGGCTCAGTGACTGAGTGCCCCTGAGTTCAGTCCCTGGTATCCCCCTTTCCCCCAAAAAAGGGAATGACCAGAGGAGCAATGCTCCTCCCACTTCCTGGGTCCGAATTTCTATCAGGTCATTTCCAATCCTTATTTGCTTACCTCTGACCTCTAACCTCACTAACACTCTATATGCTGACTTTTGTCCCATCCTTGAGAACCTGTATTTCAAAGTCTGCTATCTTAACCCTTAATTCCAACCTAATGTTTGTTGTTTGCAGTACTGGGGATTAAACACAGGGGCACTCTACCACTAAGCCCTTTTAAGTTTTTAAGACAGAGTCTCACTAAGTTGCCCAGCTGGCCTCAAACTTGTAATCCTCCTGCCTCAGCCTCCCAAGTCACTGAGACTACAGGTGTGAGTCACTGTGCTGGGCTCTAATCTGAACTTTGCACTTGAGAACAAATCATCTTTATCACCAAGCCAGTCCTCATCCTTCCTTGCCTCCTGCCACCCCAAGGACCTGTCCATCTTGACCCCAGGTCTCTGAGGTCCCTCACCTCCATATGTCGGGTCCATTGCAGCAAGTCTGGGGCTCTGTGCGTCTCAGTGTTTCCTAGGAGGAGGGGGTCAAAGGGAACACTCAAGGGGGAGGAGTTAGGGTTGTGTAGACCCAGGGGTATTCTTTGTACAGGAAACACCTCTGTAGCTTAGCAGCCTCCCCTCTGCCCAATCAATCAATATCTAGTATCTCTGGTGGGGCAACTAGAAGAGGAAGTTATTTTTGTAGATGAAGAGGCCATTGGCAAGAGGAATATAATGACATTATTGGAAACAGGAACCCCAGGGAATACGAAGCTATTCCATTACCCTCTCTGGTTAAAGGGTCAGAAAGATAAGAGAAGACCACCTTTCTGCATGCCCCTTTTCTCCTCCACATCTAGGCTGAGCCGTGTGGGACAGACACCAGCATCTGCCTTTCCTTCCTCCCAGTACAAGGGGAAGGGTTGAAGTTAGCCGGTAGGAGGCCCCGCTCAACAGTGCATCCCCGCCCCTGAGCTTTGTGCCCTCCCTGAGGGTGGCTCACCTTCTCCAGAGAGTCGCTCCTCCGGTTCCCCTCCCAGCCCTTCTCTCCTCCGCAAATGGGTCCCCATTGGTTCCATATGCCAGTCTGAGTGGGCAGCAAGTGGCTGTGGCCTGTGCTCCCTCCTTTCCTTCACAGCCCGCCTGCCGAGCTCTTGTCCCACTCAGCTCAGCTGGCAGCTCCAGAGGCTAAAGTCCTTTCAGGTGGAGGGGACCTCCAGGACACAATAGGTTATCTCAAGACAGGGCTTCTCATAGCCAGTTCTGCCCTGCTGGCTGTCACCGAGAGGGCCTCATCCCCCCAACGCCACCACCCAGTCACTCAGCTCCAAACCTGCTATCCCTCCCACAGGAGTGGTGGCTCTGTGTGAGGCTGGAAGGGGGACTTTGCCTCTCTGAGGCTTATCACTTATCACAGTTTGCTTTCCAGTCATTCTCCCACAGGCTTGAAGGTCAGGGAGGAGTTAAAACATCTTCCTGTATCAGTGCATTCAGCTTCCTGAGCCCGTGAGACGAGGTGGGCAATAATATTCTGATGGCCGGTGGTACGTGTGACCACCTCTGGGAAATGTTGGGTGCTAGGGCCCCTGATTGTCAGCTCTGTCCTACACCTGCTTGGGTTAACAGGCAGAAGGGAAACCAAACAAGTTTTTACTTGACACTGAAGAACCAGATGTAAACTTCTCTCTATTATTTACTAGCCCGGTAATTCCAGGCAAATGACTCAAACTATTTAAGCTTCCTTTGAAAAATGGAGGCAAAAACTCCCTACCTCACGAGGTTATTGGAAGCCCAAAATAAGTAGTCCAAGTCAAAATCACACAGCTCAGTCCTGATCCATGGAAATGGGCTCAATAAATATTTTCCTTCCTCTTTTTGTAGTAACAAATGGGTGTTTTGAGAATTTTTCTTTGATGAGTTCCTGTTGGGGATTAACTATTAATCCTTCCCCTCCCCCATGTCCAAAGATCATTGTTGGAAATTAGGTCACGACCTCTGATGGAGGCCATGATTTCAGTGTCTCCCTTCTCTCTACCTCCCAGTGGAGAGCTGAAGGAGGCTTGACAGCGCCATGCGGTGCTACTTGCTGTGTCCTGCACGTCCTCCCAAGTGCAGTGCGAGGGACTGAAGATAGTACATAGCGAAGGGGGACATGGTATGAGTGGACTGCTGTGGGAGACAGGGCCTGGGACTTTAGAATAGTGAGAGGTGGACACAGAGACACAGGCCGGAGACCCCCAATTCAGCTTTATTAACCTCCCAGGCTGATACCAACAATTATTTCAACTTGATGTGAAATAGGACCCAGGAGTGAGGGGGACAATGACACAGGGCCTGAAGGTGTATGGCGGGACTCAAAGCCCCTGAGTTACTTATCACTTAATAACCCAAGATGACAGCCCCACGCTCCTGCCACTGGCCCTGCTGCTCCCCACCCTGCTTTAGCCACTGCCCCCTGTGTGACAGAGGGAGCTTCCATTGCCATCTGGAGACCCAGGTAGAGGCTGGCCCATCCGATCCACACACCAGCAGGGGCCTCGGCGCTGTCCCTGGGAGGAACGACACTGGGGAGAGAGGCACACAGATGAAGGGTGAGGCCCAAGGTGGGACGGAACTCTGCAGCCTGAGTATTCAGAAATACCTCAGGTTCCTCAGGACAGTAGGGCCCTGGTTTCCCTTCCCCCTCTTCACCCATTAAGTTGTGCCCATTCTGCTAGGACAGAAAATAGTTTTTAAGTATGACTCCCAAACCAACAGCATCAATAGCACTAGGGTATGTATTAGATATATAAATTCTCAGACCCTATCCTAGACCTACTGAGTCCGAACTCTGCAGGTAGGGCTTAGCCATCTGTGTTCCCAAGCCTTCCAGATGATTCTGGGCCTCAAGTTTGAGAGCTACTGAGAGGCCACTCCTTGAGGACTTTAAGTCCTCTACCACAATGTATAGTTAGACATTATTTTTTTTTTTTTCTTCAGTGCTGGGGATTAAACCCAGGACCTTGTGCATGCTGGGCAAGAGCTCTACCACTGAAGCACAATCCTCAGCCCTAATTATTCTTTGTGTTTGTGTGGGTGCTAAAGTTGGAAATCCTGATAGGCAGGGACAGTGTCTTATTTAGGCAACTCTGTAAGTGCCCCTCCCCATTCCTTGTACTGGGGAGGAAAGGCCTCATCTTACCTGCCGCTTCCGATAGAAGCCTCGATGGTCACAATTTGGTACATAGAGGGTGTGAGACCCTCTGAAGACTTCAGTCTGGAGTTGCTGTAGCACTGAGTCCAGGTGTCTGCGGCAGGGGCCCTAGGGGAGGGAGAGCGGTGGCTCAGGGCCCCACAAGCCAGGATCCCCCAGACCAACACTGGAGACTTAGCCAAGCCACCAGAAGCAGTCTGAGATAGAAGTCTCCAGGGTTCCCCACCTCTTCTGCTTCTACCAGCCCCAGACGCACCATCTCAGTTTCTTGGACACCCCCAGGATTGTGTCGAGCAGGAGTGGTGGAGGTCCCTGGATTCTTCTGGTGGTCTCTGCGGTTCACGTCCTGTGGATGAGTGGTGCCTCCTTGGGGTTTACTCTCCTTCGGATTCTCTATGGCCATGGGAAGAACAAAGAGGCAAAAGATCAGCTAGGTGCCATGCAGAGAAGAGTCCTGTCCACCCCTACCCACTGGAATGGAGGATCAGAGGGCCTTAAGGTGTAGGAGAAAAAACCATGGGAGGTTAGAAGCTGGCTCCTCTGCCTCATCCTAGCCAGTTTCTTTCTCTGAAAACAGTTATATTACTTTTCCTGACATTATTCCCCAAAGTAATTTTATTATTTATGTATTTATTTATTTGGGGGCCGGTGATTAAACCTAGGAGTGCTCAACTACTAAGTCACATCCCCAGCCGTTTTTATTTTTCATGTTTTTTTTAAAGAGAGAGAGAGAATTTTAATATTTATTTTTTAGTTTTTGGCAGACACAACATCTTTGTTTGTATGTGGTGCTGAGGATCGAACCCGGGCCACACGCATGCCAAGCGAATGCACTACCGCTTGAGCCACATCCCCAGCCCCTATTTTTCATTTTTAAAAAATATTTTTTTAGTTGTAGATTGACACAATATCTTTTATTTGTTTGTTTGTTTGTTTGTTTGTTTGTTTGTTTATTTATTTAACATGGTACTGGGAATCAAACCCAGGGCCTCACCCGTGTGAGACAAGTGCTCTACCACTAAGCTACAACCCCAACCTTCTATTTTTCATTTTGAGACAGGGTATTGCTAAGTTGCTTAGGGCTTTGCTAAATTGCTGAGGGCTGAGGCTGGCTTTGAACTTGTGATTTTTTTCTGTCTCAACTCAACCCCTAAAGTCACTGGGATTATAGGTGTATGCCACTGCACCTGGCTTCCCAGGGTAATTTTTTTTTTTTTTTTGGTACCAGGGATTGAACTCAGGAGCACGTGACCACTGAGCCACAACTCCAGCCCTGTTTTTTGTATTTTATTTAGAAACAGGATTTCGGGCTGGGGATGTAGCTCAGCTGGTAGAGTGTTTGCCTTGCATTCACTAAGGCCCTGGTTCAATTCCCAGCACCACACACACACAAAAGAATATGAATCTAGAGACAGGGTTTCACTGAGTTGCTTAGCACCTTGATCTTGCTAAGGCTAGCTTTTAACACGCAATCCTCCTGCCTCAGCCTCCCCAGCCACTGGGATTACAGGCATGTGCCACTGTGCCCGGCTCCCAGAGTAATTTTTTATTTTATTTTATTATTATTTTTTAGGTGTAGATGGACACAACACAATGCTTTTATTTTTGTGTGTTGCTGAGGATCGAACCCGGGTCCCGCCCGTGCTATGTGAGCACTCTACCGCTGAGCCACAATCCCAGCCCCCAGAGTAATTTTAAGGCTTATAAAGAAGAGGCATTTTGAAAAACAAAAATTGAAAACAAATTTTGCACTACTGATTTTTTTGAGGCTTTTAAGCTATAGGTGAAAAGACCTGGCTGTTCCATCAGAAGCCACAAGGGGGTGCACCAAGACAGGAAGATGGGGCAGGAAAGCAATGATGTAGGAGGGGATCAACTGGGACCCAAATGGAATGTATGTCCTGGCTGTGACCCTGCTGTGACTCAACCTACCCCTCCCAAGTTTGACATGTGATTTCTTTGGGGGCACTGCAGTGGATACCTCTCCCTTCTGTTCCCCTGTGGCTCAGTTCAGCTCAACCTTATTAGTCCCAGGAGCATGTGGATTCAGCCCTTAGCCATGATGCGAAGAAGGTTACAAAGGTACAAGGAATGAGGGGTTTCCAACCTGTGGGTTGCTCTTACTCTAGAGAAAGTTTCTGATGAGAGAGGTGGTCCTGTGGAGCGTCCAGGAATAGAAAAATGTAAGAAATAATCCAGGGCTAGATTAAGGCAGGGAAGGGAGAATGCACAGCTTGAAATTTGCCCCAGCTATAAATAAAATTAGATATTGGAAGGAATGCAGGGATGGTCTTTCCTTCTCCATGCCCAGGGACAAGCTCTCATCTGCCTTCACTACCAGCGACCCAATCCGACTCTAACCCTTCTTTCTCTGGTTTCCCTATCTTTTTAAGACCCAGCATTTAGTACCTCAAACTGCCTTCTTTGACCCACTCTAATTGCCCCTTCCAGGAGGACCTCTGGAAGCCTGGACTCAGGCACTTGGGATTGAAAGAGACTCCAATTTCATGTCTCATCCCTCCCATGAAAGAAATCAGGAACTCAGATGCTCTGGGATGGGGGCACTTGCATTTCCTGCTTCCTCCCATCTCCCTGTTGCCCCCCATCTTTTGAGTGCTGACTCATTTTGGTCCCACCCACCCAATGACTCAGCCTCCTTTGCTCTTCCCTGGGGTAGAGCTGGGTGGGGAGCTCCAGTGGAGGGTTTTGAGCAGGTTTAAATCATAAGCCTGGTTTGGCAAATTCCCTCTTTTCCCACCTCCTTCTTTCTCCCCGGGCTCTCCAGGGCCTACCCACTCTCCCCGGTGTAGTCTAGTACAGCTCTGGTCATCTTCTCCTCTAGACCTCAAGTTCAGGTGCTTCCAATTCTGACACTAGGAGGAAAGCAACTATTGCTCAATGTGCAGAATTTGGGTGTCTGGGGTTCCCTTCCCTCCTCCGAAAGGAAGGAAGCTGGGTCCAGTCTCCAGCTTGGGCATCCAGGGTTGAAGGAGCTGGGTGGGGCCCGTGGGATGGCTCTAAAACCTTCTATCCTCCTCCCCAGCCCTTTCCCTCAAGGGAGAATAAATAGAAAGAGCAAAAAGGAAAGTTAGGAGTTCATTTCCTACTATATTCCTAGATCCCCTAGCCACATCCCAGCCTTCTGTTCCCTGCACTTGCCCCTTACCCCCAGAGTGTGCCCCTCTCCTAAGGTCAGGGAGGAAGAAGCAGCACCGGCCAGGATCTACCTCGCAGGGCTGTTCGCTGCATCTCTAGATGGGCGCGGGGAGAAGTGCGGGTCTCAGGTGGGCGGGGCAGGGGCGGAGCGCGGACTCACCAGCGGCTGCCCGGGCCGGGCTGCAGCGGCCCCTGCCCAGGAGCAACGCTCGCAAAGGCGCCTCCTCATCCTTGTGCGGCTGGCACTGTAGTCCCGCGGCGCAGTTAGGGGTGTAGACCCCACACTGCTGCCCCTCTCTCCTGAGACAGCCCCCGGTTTCTTCACAGCCCTCCGCCGGCTGTCCCTCATCCTCTTGCGCGCAGCCCCCAGAACATCCCGCCTGCATCCCCTGCCCGCAGCCTGGGCACTGCGCCAAGGCGCCTGTTGGGCGGGCAGCAAGCAGCAGAGTTAGCAGCAGCAGTGGTGGCAGTAGCCTGTAGGGGGTCATCGTCAGGATTTTTGCCCCGTCCACTCCTTTCAGAGCAGTCGTAGAGCAGCTGCTGCCCGTTGCCGCCCCTCTGCCTTAAGTAGCCGTGGGTCAGGGGCCGGCCCTTTAAGAGCCAGGTGAAGGGGGGGGGGTGGGGGAGAAGGCAGAGGCTTTCCCTAAACTGGGTGGGACTGGAGAGCCCCCCCCACCACCTGGGTCCTCCCCACTCTTCTCTCCCCGCTCCCTTCCCAGTTTCTGTTTACTTCCCAAATTGCTCTGGTTTTTCTTGCTTTGTTCCTGGGAATCTCGCCCGGAATTTGGGAGCTGTACAGCTGGCTGGAGGGACTGGAGGGTGGGGAGGAGTGGAAGAAGGGAAAGACTGGAGTGAGATGAGGGGGAAACCTGAAATCCAGTTTGTGTGTATGTGTAGGAGTATGAAAGGCACGAGGGGACTCGGGTTTGGAGTGAGAAGATGGGGGCCTTAAAAAACGAACCGACAAGGGGGGGGGCGGGGGGCCGTGGAGTCATGAGAGGCATGGGGACAAATGCAAAGAAAGAAGATGGAGATGATGGATCATGGGGTGTTGGGAGAACCTACTGCTGATGGAAGAGACCCAAAGTGAGAAGAGGAAAAGCAAAATTGGGGAAGGGGAAGAGTAAGTCTCCCTGAGTAGTGTCTATGGGGAGAATAGGTTTAGGGAGAGTAGGACTGGGGTAAGATGATAGAAGGGGTTCTGGGGAGCTAGGGATAAAATGGGGGAGAAGGTGGAGAGGAATACACCTGGAGTAAGCTGCAGGAAGCCCTAGCATTGTGGAGTAGACACCACGTTGAGTCTAGAAGGACTGAAAAGGGGCTGAGTGTTCAAAGTGAAAATTAGCCAAACACCTGGGAGTTAGGGAAAGGGGGTATTATCCAGTTGAAACTCTGGAGTGTGTGGGCAAATTTAGATGAACTCATATTCTGGATGTTCTTGGGGGACAGTGGACAGAGAGCAGACCCCACCCCACCTCCCAACTCTTTAGGTTATCCTTCTTCATTCCTCTCCTTTCCCTAAACCTGTCCTCCTCCTCACAAGCATGCCACGGGGTTTCTAGATTTCTCAGGTTATGCTTTTGTGCCCAGGAGGCTTTGGAGAGGGTCTGAGTGTTTGCATCCAGACACTTGCCTGCCCTTTCTCGGCTGGTCTGTCTTAGCTGCTCCTGACCAGCCCTTCCTTCCCCAGGCAGTGCCTGGCCAACCCCTAGAACTCCAGCATCACAGGATAAAGGAAGAGGAAATGTTTCCTTCTGCAACCCACACCCGCCCAGCTCTGGGTTATGCAACAACCAACTCAATCTTTCCTAAAACAAGGACTTCAGGCAGTGACTAAGTTTAAATTCTGGGCCCCCAAGCAAGAGTTTCAGCAAGGACTTTCTGAACTTTGGGACAAATACAATATAAAAAGAGCCTCATTTGCAGCCCCGCCTTCCAGGGATACTCTGGGATCCTAGCATCTGCATTTGGGAAGTAGTGATTTCCTGTTGCCCTGAGATACTCAGGGCAGATTGGACAGTCGGGGAAGAGAAGGAGTGGGTAACAGCTCTCCTCCACCAAGGGCTCTGTGACCTCCTACTCCCAAGCTCTGACCCCAGGGTGGGGAACTTGGCTCCTGGGCCTAAACTCTTATCAGTCTTTTGTTTCTTTTTTGGTGGTACTGGGGATTGAATCCAGGCCCCCATTCTTTTCTTTTTCTTGTGCCTGCTAGGCCAGTGCTCCACCACTGAAGTACATCCTCAGTCCTTGCCCTCACCATACACACACACACACTCACACACACACACACACACACACACATATGCCTTTATTTTTATGTGGTGCTGAGGATGGAACCCAGTGCCTCACACATGCTAGGCAAGCGCTCTACCACTGAACTACAACCCCAGTCCCCCCCAGACCCTTTTATTTTTTAAGATTTTTAATAATATTTATTTTTTAGTTTTAGGAGGACACAATATCTTTATTTTATTTTTATGTGGTGCTGAGAATCGAACCCAGCACCTCATGCATGCTAAGCGAGCTACCACTTGAGCCACATCCCCAGCCCCCCTTTTTATTTTTTATTTTGAGACAAGGTTTCACTAAATTGCTTAGGGCCTCACTAAATTGCTAAAGGCTGGCCTTGAATTTGAGATCCTCCTGCCTTAGTCTCCAGAGTATCTGGGATTATAGCTGTGAGCCACTGAACCCAGCATGGTTTGCTTTGTTTTGTTTTTGTTCTGCATGTGTTTCTTTCTAGGGTCTTTCTCCTGGATTTCTGTTTGTTACTCCTGAATGAGATGGAAAAATCTATAGGAAGTTGAACAGGGGGGAGAAATGGTAACTTGCAGGGTCCCAATGTGCCTTTTGGGATATTTGTACTTCTCACTGGTAGTTTATTTTGCCTAGCAATCCCGGCACCCTGCTAATTTCTAACATCCACCACTCCCTCCTCATCTGCCTTCCTGCCCATTATCCCTGCTTTTGGTTCCCACTGCCCCCTTGGTGTCTTCCTACAGTCTAAGCAGGATTGCACAATCCAGAATAGCTCATGGCACTGCACTTCTCCTTTCCTCCATCCTTCCAGTATGAATATCCAGAGTTGTATGCCCAGCTATGCTGGGGGTCTCACAAGTCTCCTTGCAGACAGGGGCCAACTGAAGTCTTAACTTCCTCTGAATTCATCCATATTATTGTGTTGCTATTTTATATTTCTTATTACATTTTTTTTTTTTTTT